CAAATAACTATTTATTCCCTAAGAATTTCTGTCTTCTATCAAAAAACTCCCACAAAACCTTACATTGTAAGAGTGAACACGTATTTTGATAAACACACATATATGTAAAATCTATTATAAATTACAACAAAAGGGTATAATATAAAACATACCTTCCTTAGAATTACTGGTCCAAGAATAAATATTGCTTGTATAGTAGCCCTGCCTGAGTAAATGCAAGGCAATGAAATATAGTCATGGCTTATTCTATTATTACAAGAATGGGATTAACAAGCAACAGAAGAATTGTATGCTTTCATCTAAATGGTGACCTCCAAGGGATGACTGATTTGACAGAGCCTAATATGCACAACTATCTAAAATATCTTCTAATTTCTGGAATCTAAATAGGACAGCTAGATGTTTAAAATTGATTGTTTCAGTTTCCTTGGTACAACGATTAGATCTGCAATCACAGACAGGATTTGAGAAATAAAGGAACTGTCCTTTTTACATAATATAGACTGCAATGAAGTTAAGAAGGATTTGAACAAGCTTCTTCATCAGGGGTGTTGTGCATTTACAAGGAAAGTTCTATTAATAGCTCTTCTGGGGGTTACAGGCTGTTCTATGGGATCGCTCTTAGTTATCTCCCAGCATTACCATGTTGAAAATAGGAGCATGTTTGTAGCATCCAAGTGGAGCTCCTTTCTCACACACAAACATGCTTTGAGATATTTCTGAAAGTTCTATTTTGTCTGTTGCTGATCATGTTAAACTGAGTTAAAACCGTAGCTCTTTTGGGTTGGTTAAAAGGAACGTAATTGTCCTGCCCTATCAGAAAAACTAAAGATGTTTTAGCATCTGTGAGTTTGTGAATTGGCAGGCTATGTACTGCCTGGCACCTCAATATTCATGCACATGCATTGCCATTAGAATACATCATGGCTTGTATCTGTATGTAGTTTTATAGAACCAATTGATGAAACAATGGGACTTAATTAAATCATCACTAAAGCATCTCACCTTCAGTGACACAACTGCAAAAATGACTAGACTGAGTCCAACCCCAGACACCTTTTCCACATCCCCAGAGGTAAGGAGATAAATCCTGAAGAATATTAAGTATAGCAAGTAACTAGAAAAGCACCCTCCAAATTACTAAGAGAAACAGCGATTAACCAGGAATTGATAGCATAAAATAGGAAGCATCCCTGATAAATAGGGATAGTTGGAGCAACTAGAGATACAGGAAACCAAAGAAGAGGCTATCAGGTGACTTCAGTGTTCATGGATGCCTTAAGGTACTGAATGATTCCAAGGAAATGTATTGGAGTTGCTCTATTCAGCTTCTGCAGGTTAGGAAAAATAGGCCTGGGGAGTGAAGTTAGCAGAATGCATGAAGGACAGAAGAACCAAGAGCCATCTTTCTTATATTATGCATAAGTTGGTCCTGAGATTCTAATTCAAGATATTCATTCATTGCTTATAAATAGATGCTAAATGTAGCATGTGATTTTAGCAAGCAGCTATCAGATGATGTTCCAAAATGTATTTCAATCTTGATTTTTCATTTTCCTTAATGGAGTCCCAAATGGAAAAGATGAAAACCTTTTTAGTGAAGCATTGGCTTAAAAACAAAAGAAACCAATTATGTGGTTCTCTATTGAATTATTGCCCTACTAAATGCTGCTGGATTTTCTGATAGTTTGAAAATCAACTTGCTCAATAGAAAATTTTTAAAAAGGTGCATATGCTTACATATGGTTTTAAAAAAGGCTCTTTCTAATAGCAAGCCTGATGAAAATAAATTAAAAGAAATTTTGAAAACAGGATGTACTGTTGCTTTTGAAAAGACTGAATTGGAAGCATTTTTTGAGTTAAACCATTGGGTTATGCCCAATGAATGACTGAATTCAGACAAAAAGCTTAACCTGGTTCATGAGTTAGCTTTATCTGTGTTCATACAATACCTTAAATCAGGGTTCCTCAACCTCAGCCAGTTTAAGATGGGTGGACTTCAACTCCCAGAACTCCCCAGCCA